GCTATGTAATATTAAACCATGGTAAAAATGACTACTTGAGCACGATATTCTTGAAGTTTCCCAAGGATTCAATTGCATACCAAAGAGAGTAAGCGATATACAAGTTTGAATAATATCTTTTAATAATTTATGTACTAATTAAGTATGCTCATGGAAATTGACTATTTGTTTAGTATTGTAGAACAGAAAAATCTACTACCCTTTGAATAATTGAACATTAGATTGTTTCTAGACCAGTAAGTTTTTTTTTCCAAATAATAATCGTAGTTTGTTATTTAAGTTAAACATTTTTTCTAGATCACTATTGATCTACGTATGCTTAGCATAATGTATCATTCGAATCCAAAGAATTCCTTTCTTCGTGCATCATTATCAGAAATGAATCTATGTAGCAAAAACGTTTATTCTCATTTGAATCATTCATTGTTTTTTTTTCTACTGGCAGATGAAATATATTTGTGCGATGTAAAATGTAATATAGATGTCAACAACAAATATGTTTACTACTCAATTAAATGAATTTAAACAAAATTCGTACCCCTAACTTGAAAGATAAGAGGTTGTAAACCAATAAATAGATCTTGCAGCAATCAAACGGGAGGAAAGAAAAGTACTATTTATGATACATAGTGTCTTTTAAACTTCGAAGTCGAACAAACTATTGATTTTTCAAAAAAATCGCTTCATTAATGATATTATTACATAGTAGCGAATGAAGTGTTTATCACAAGTTTGTGTCTATTATATATAGTGTTAAAAAAAACACTTTTACGTAGTTTCAATTTTTTATTTTTTAGATCATTTAAATTACAAAAAACAAAGAACTCCATTTAATCAAAACTAATATGTACAACAGGAAAAATACTTTCTTATTTCTTTTAGCTGTCTCTAAACGGATCTAAGTATTCAAGATAGGGAAAAAAACGCTACTCCTATTGTTCTACTTTTATACCATAAAATTATATCGACGAGATCAATACTGTACTTGTGCATTTTTTATCACAGCTCTTTTTAAAAATGCTAGCAATGAGAAAAGCTTAAATACATCGCGTTTATGTCAATATTTTACTGGCTGATTGAATACTTTTGTAATAATTTATAGAATACTTCTATTGAAACTTTTTCATATTATATAAACTTATAAAACAGAATCAGATAGGGAAGATCTTAATTTTATTCATGATTTTTCCTTTTTGTACTTTTAAGCAGAACTCTCTAGATCCAATAGATTCGTTCTCTCGATGTTTATAAATATGAAATCTAAATTTTAATATACACTTATTTACTACTTCTACTTCATTATGATGCTGACAATATCTTCGAAAAGAAAAAGAAAAGAAAACTTTGAACGCAGTTTGCATTGTTATCCTTACAACCAATTTATCTTCATTTGGCCCTTTGCAGCTGCATATTTTTAGGCAAATTGTCATTTCAGAAAAACAAAGCATATTATCTCTCACATTGATTTTTTTTCTTCGTCATTGTATCTAGTTTGGTCTTTCTTTCCGTAGATGCAAAATAAAATCCAAAATTCAAATGTCATGGACATAAAAAAAAGCCACAATACGACAGAAACAAAAGAAAAACAAAACTTGACAATTACAAAATCTCTATTTTGCTTAGAGAAAAGAAAACCATAACATTGAATAATCAATATGTTGCGATAGTACAAATAAAGGAACGAAACTTGATGAATCAAGGCAATTATATGCATTGCGCAAGACATACACAAAAAGAAAGAATACAATGAATGAAAAACATGGATACGTTCAATTATTTTTCTTCATTTCTTTTTGTTTCCAAAGATTTACATGCAACATAAGGAACCGGTAATCGGTGACTTTTGTTGTCAAAACAAATAGAGAAGTCTGTTGGTTTTCTTTTTTGAGCGGCTGAAGGTAGAAAAAAAACAACAACAATAACAACAACAACAACAACACAGAATTTACGAAAAAGCAATAAATGCGCACAAAAGACGACATCAAAACTCAAAAAAAAAGAAACAAACGAGAGAAGAGAAATATGAACACCGGTCATCAAGAAAAATCGATAGAGAGACAGAATAACATTCAAAATTTTATGTAAGATACGTTTTAAAGTTATATATATTTATATATGTATATGCATATAGGTCAACGTTTCGTTTTTTCCTCCTTGAAATCTTAAGCAGCTCCACTTGTGACAGCCGATGATTCTTGTTGTGGATGATGATGGTGATGATGATGATGATTCATTTGATCCATCATACTATTGGGACTTGATGATACAGGATAACCACTTGGATACATCATCATCATTGGATTCCGAAATTGTGACATTTGTGCGTACGATCCAAATATGTCTTTAAAAAGAAAATTTTATAAAACAATTCCATTTTTTATTGTACTAATTTTTTTTAATCTTTACCATGAGGTGCTGTTGGATAACCACCACCAAACTGATAATGCATAGCAGCAGCTGCAGCTGTATCAGGAGAATATGGGCCAAAACAATCAGGAAATTCAGTTGGGATAGACGCTAGAAAAGAAAAAGAAAAATAATATTAATTTAAATAAGTTCTGTTACTTTTAACATTCTTTCTCGCTTTCATCGCCTGTGTTATTTCACGCATTCGTGCAAATAATTGACTTTGACAACAAGAGGAAAAAGGAGAAGCCAAAGAGGAGGAGCTATAGTATAGAACAATTGTTCAAGTGTCTTTTTGAATTAGATTAACTATTCTGTCTCACTCACATTCCTGATGGTCACAAAGAAAATCAATCTAGTTTTAACTATTGAAACGTCACACGAGATTTCTATCGATTGAAATCTGGGCGGGAATAAGAGCAATTGTCAAGCAGAAAGAATAGATGCATTCATCTGCCACACATACGGCAAATGAATTACAGTTATAATGGGGAGAGGGCGGAGGGGGAGAGAAAAGCAGTTAAAGAATTGAATAGTATGCATAGAAAAACACAAACACACACACACACACACTAGGGCAGAGATTGAAAGGAAATCTACCTTTTTGGTTATGGGCTGAAAAAAGAAAAGAAAATTTTCTGTTATATTTGTTTCTCATATAATGTTATCATTAAATAAATGAAGAAGGAAGCATTAGATATCAAATAGCATTAGAAATTCAATATTTGAGCGTTAAACACTCTTGCCTTTCGAGATATATGAAAGGGAAGGTCGTTGAGAAACAACTGCTGATGCTGATGCTGTAGTCGATTTTATGGGCGTCTTAATACACTTTGTTCGACGATATAACTTTTTTGAACTATTTTGTGATTCTCGAGTTTGTTGCGACTGATTATATTGATTTGTAGCAGTAGTGATAGGAGGTATGAATGCAATATTTTTTCCATCAACATCTTCACCAGCATTTATTTTTAACTTACCAGCACGATTTGATTGATCAATCATTGGCTGAACAATTCGACGTCTGGCATTGATAAACCTAATATATACATTAGAAAATAAGACAGCATGAGATTCTTTTTGCTTGAAGGATAAAAGTGGCTTATTAGAAATAACATCTATATGCGCATTTCTTTTAAGTCAAATGAACGTGTTTATTTTACTACAATAAATTACCATTGCCACCAACAGATACTGTAGAGGTTAATTATCATCTGTGAAGTATATATTACTTTCTTCTGATGTTTTTCCGATACATTTACAAAGTTTTCTTTTCTTTCCTTTCGATAGAAATCGATTTTATAAATCTAGATCTAAATCTTTTGTGATTTCAAAAAAAACAAAATCATCATTTTGCTTTATTTTTTGTTTTAATTATTTGTGTTAAGTTTTGTTTTCATCAGAATATTTTTGAAGGCAGAAAACCTTTTTATGGGTAACGATATCTATTTTATCAATAATAAATTAGATTACTCAAGTAGATTTGACCTTTTCAATGATAAGAGTTCTTTTTTTTGTATAAGCACAAGTTCTTGCCTATAGACGACCTCGAAAAATCTGTCAACAAGAGAAGATAAACAGATTTGTTTAGAATATAAAGATATCTATATGAGCAGTAGGAGACCTGAAAGACAGAGCAATAGAAAGAAAGAAACAAAAGAAATGATAAATGATGTCCATCTTGTATAAAAGAGATACGATAACGTTCCTATCCTTTGGGATATGTATAAACAAACAAGGTTAGCTAAAGTAATAGTGTAGATTCTCCTCCTTGCCCTACTAATGTGATTTTAATGATGGCGACGATCGATCGTTGTCAACAACATCCGGCCAGATGTTTTTATCGAATCTTTCACGTAAACTTTATCAACAACAAGAGATCCGAAGAAAAAAAAGAGAAACAAACGTGACCTATCATCAGTTCGTTTGTATTGAACGGCTGTTGCACGCATTATCATCATCAACATCAATATTGGCGCAATAGTCTATGTTTTTCGTTTGATCCTCTCATCTCTTCTTCTTTTTATTTTTTAGTTTCTACATGATGATGAAAAAGTCGCGTGCATGAGTATAATGATAATCATCACGATAATGTTTGCCGCTACAAGCGTATCGTCAGTTGGTCTGTGTTTGTAGCATCAAACACATCTAGGCGACAAATCGAACCGCTGCATACATATACTCTAATCGCATTTTATCACGAAAATGTCTTTTTTTTGACAGTTCAATTGCTTAATATGTGTATGTGAGAATGTAGATTACGCTTGAAGATCTCTCTGTTTAATTTTCTACTTGCACGCTATATTAACGTCGTTGTGGTTGTTGCACGTACGAACAGTATCAGTGAACGAATTGTTTACTTTACTAATTGAGCGTGCGATTGCTTTATGTTGATAATTCGCGTCGGACAGATACATGTATATATATATATATATACATTGTACATGAGAGAAAAGAAATGGTTGATTATCATTATTGCCGACATCGACATGTAGCAATAACAAACTAACGAAAAGGGGAAAAACAGAACGGGACGCCGGCAAATAGTAACAAGTCTCAAATTGAGAGTAAACATGGATTCAATGATTCGTATAAATCCTAAGGTTATTTTTCTTTTCTGTAGACTTTCTCAATTTCCAATTGGTTAAAATAAAATAGAAGTTTCAACCAATAGAAGAGATTCTTCATACACATGAAATGTATCAAACAAAATCTATTTGCATGACAACAAGCAACACATTTAATACTTTTCTATTCGTGTGTGAATGATTAAATAAGTGTGAATAAATATTTAACTTACCAATTGTTAACTAGAAAAGAAAAAGAAAGAAAATTATAAATAAAGAAGTCAGTCAAATGTTTTTTTTGTTAATGTTACCTTGCAAAATTGTTAATCCAGTATCTTGAGCCAACTGTTTCTTTTGTTCTTCGGACGGATATGGATGCTAAAAAGTCATGAATCATCTTTTAATCTAATGTAATTGAATATAAAACTTACAGTTAAATGTTGAAATAACCATGCTCGCATAATATTCGTTGCTACTTTTGGAAAGATGCCACGCTTTTTTTGACGTTTCTTAGAATTATCATCAAGATCATCTTCTCCGCCTGTATTATCACCACCTGAACCAACACTGTTATCAAAGTTGTCACCTTTTATTAGAAGAAGAAACAAAAAATACAAAAGATGAATTTAATTGCTTTAAGGCATAACGAAAGGTGAAACCTAATGTACTTATAGTATTCATCTTTTCTTCTTCTTTTGCACTCTTTCTTATGGTCAATTATGATTGATTGACAGGACACATATAGTGTAGTACTAGTCTGACGTGGTAATGCGTCTTGACAGTCGATTTGTGAAATAGCATTAGTTTTAAATCGACAAGAAAGAAGAAAAGAAAAACGAGCATTTGAGTACGATTAGCATATAAATTTATTCTGCGAAAGAAAAATGAACGGTATGAACGTTCGTTTTTTAAATTGAGTGTGAAATCAGAGATGATTTTAATTTTCAGTCTAGCACACATATGTATTGAATTAATGTGTGTGAATGTAAGATGATATGAGTAGTAAAAGTGAAAAAAGAAGACGATGAAGACGAACAACTGTTGTGTTTTTTTTTTGTTTTATTTTTCTCTTCCAAATTTCAATTAATTTTCTTTATACAATGTGTGTGTGTGTGTTTTTTGTTGCTATTCCTGTTGAAATGATATAAATAAAAAGACATGTGATCATCATCAGTCAATCGAATTCGTTTGGGAACTAGAATGAACATGCGGACAGATTGGTAATGTTTTTATTCACAATTATTTATAGAAATGGAACCGAATGGGTAATTTGGAGACTAGCTGTTCCCTTGCGTGTGTATGCTACAGACAATATTAATAATAATAATAATGCAATGTCTATGGCTATTTCTGTTCTCGCTGTCTATCAGCGATTAGTTTTTTGTACGTATGTAGAATGAGAATAGATGAGATGAGAAAAAAAGAAATCTAATTGAAAAAACATACCCGTTTCACTGTTGTTATCATGTAGAACATGATAACTGTTATTAGCATTTGCCATGTTAGTCATTGTAGCTTGATGTGCATTTGGAGTATTTGTATCTGACGAAGAATGCGTAGATTGAGTATCATCATTATGAATCGTATGATGACTTTGCAAATGATTACTTTGTTGTTGATGGAAATGTTGTTGTTGAGACAAATGATTCAAAAGTGAAGTATGATGACCAACAAGATGATTTGAATATGATGGATGTGGTGGTGGTGGTGGTGGTGGTAATTGCTGTTGAAAATGTGTTGGTGGAGGTGGTAAAGATGATGGTTGTAGATGATGATGATGATGATGAGATGGATGACCAAGATGATGAGGTGAAACAAGAGGTGTCAATTGTGAAGTTGTTGCCATCGATGAGCAATGTGATGATGATGATCGAAGCTAAATATAAATAAAACATTTTGCATGATGACTTTCCAATGAGAGATGAAGTATGTATACACTTGAATGGGTAGCATTCATTCATTCATTCATTCATTCATTCGTTCATCGTTTTTTTTATATACGAAAAAAACAAAACGTTTGTTTACATATGTTCATTTAATTGTTAGAATATAATAGAATAAATTGATATATATATAAAACAGGTGTTTATATTATTCGTAATATCGGATAATGGTCAAAAAATTGATGTCAAATAGTGAAAGAAAAATACTTACAGATTTAGGTTGATGACCAAGATTATATGTTGATGTTGTTGTTGAACCATCGGGACTATGTTGATTATAAGATGATGAACGTGATGAACTTGAGGGTGGATGTGGTGCAAGTCCAGGTGGTGGTTGTGGACTTGATTGATCATCATCTTGATCATCTTCATCATCTGATTTTGATGATGATACGTTTGAATCGCGTTCATCGATTACTAAATCCATTGGTAATTTTCCTTTTAAACATGTTATATAACGATGAGTAAAATTATCGCATAATTCATGAACCTATGAGAGATAGAGAGCAAGAAGAATAAAAAGATTGTTGTTAATGACTTGGTACTTGACTTCTCGCTAATTTTATTTTCATTAATATTAATACAGTGAATATATGCCTATTTTATTTTGTCTGATAAAGCGGTCAATGAGCGGAAAGATGTTCCGTTTAGTTTCTTAGAAAATGAGAAAGAAAAAAAATCAGACATAGCTATTG